ATGGGTTAATATTATATTAAGTTGAAGTATGGCACATTGGCTACTTATACTTAAGTATAACTCCGTGTTATGGCTCAATGTAACGTAATTGGCTACTTATGCTTAGTATAATTAGGTGTGCATAGCATATACAACTAGATGTTTATGCTAGTATAATTCAATGTTATTGCTTGATGTCCAAGTTATGATGAAGTTTGATGCTTACTCTTGGTAAATTTTGATGTTTACCTTTTGAACTCATAGTATAGCATGATGGTTATGCTAATTATATATTAATATTATGGATCAATATTTATCAGTAAAGTTTGATGATTATATTTGGTAAAATATATTTTTTTTGCTTCTACCTTTTGATTTAACATTGTATAGTGCAATGTTTATATTAGGTTTTGTTTAATGTTGGAACCCAATGCCTTTATAAGTGAAGCGTCGATGATTTCACCTTTTGAATATTCAAGCATGATGGCTTGTCAATAAAGAATTATCCAAGGAATATGACCAATCAAGAAATTCAAATACATTAAATTTAAATTGCTTTGATTTTAAATTGTTTAATTTTTCAAATAAATTATTTTGATAAGAGAGTTTAAATTTACTGATTTTTTTATTTGGATAAATTATTTCCATTAAAATTAAATATTAAAATTATTATTATTAGTTCTATCAATTAGGTCCACCTCACAATTTTGTTCCCTTACCCACATGAGTCAGGTTGGACTAAGGCAGGATGGATCGGGTCAAATCAGATCGAGACAAACCAAGCTACAAAGATTGAATCAAATTAAGACAAATTATATCGAATCAAACAAACAGGGATGGGTTGGATTGTATCAGGATCAATAAAGATGGGTTATGATGAATCAATAATGTTGGGTCAAATTGAGTCAAGTTGGTCAAGATGGGTCAGGTTAAATAGTAATTGAATTAGATATATGTCAATATGAGATAGGTTGGATCAAACTAAAATTAGATATTATATGGGTCATGTGGACCATGCCTACTCTCGGCAGTTGAGTCAGAGTTATCAAGAAAGATTGGATCTAGTTAGGATGTGTCAAACCAAGGTATGGAGTCAAGCTAAAGAGGCTTAAAATCAAGAAGTAGATCTAAAGATGCTTAAGACATAAACATTATTGATCCTCAAAGGGTGAATTTTAGCTAAAGATGTTCAAGGGTTGACAAATAAAGGTGAGACATCTAAGGATATGCAAGATATGTTTGATGGTAAGTTATTAGACATAAGTCGATATTGAGTACAAACTCTACATTAAAAAAATACAAATACAAAGCAAAATAAAATTTGTAATATACCAAAATGAATTAGTTTAACTATTTTTTTATACTTAACTTATGATTGGTTGTCAATATATTCTAGCAAATATTTGTGATGAACCTTTAGTTTGTTGTCCTATATTCTCTCTTAAAAAGAAACTTCAATCTGTTAAAGATCCTTTGAGAAGCTAGAATAAGGATGTCTTTGACATCCTCCTTTGACCTATCTAGATGTCTCTCTAGAGAAATTAATACTTTCGAGCCATAACAAATCGCATAAGTAGAAAACTTAAATGGAAGGTTAAATTACTTTTAAAAATTAGGAAACTACAACTCGTTAACTTAGTGTTTTCAAGCATGACTTTATAAGTTCTCGGGTTTATAATTGACCTATTTAATTTATTAAGGAACCCAGGTTTGGATTCAAAACATTGTGTGGTCTGATGACATTTATATCAAAACATAAACATGTTACAATTTCCTGACAAAAAAAATAAAAAGGTTTCAAACTTATTAATTTTGGTGGTTGAGGCTTGGTAACTTTCTTTCCTAAAGGTGAAAAAATTAAAGTTGTAGACCTTCTCCTTTTGAATCTCTTATTAAAATTATCCATGATATAAAAAGGAACACTAAGGGTGTTCTTGGAGATGACACACATATTAACCTCTAGACAAATCAATGAAGCATGGATACATCAATAACAAATATATTAGGCTTATCAATAATAATCGTGAATTCTATAAGATCACCAAGCCACATGTGAAATATGATCACGAGGCTTAGTCTTGACCACACCAGCCAATAACCAAACTAATCATACCAACTAGACCTAAGCAAGATCTTACACACCACAAGATCATAGAGTCACTATGTGAAATATGATCACGAGGCTTAGGCTTACCAATAATAATCGTGTTTTAATAAAAACACCTTCTACAAATAGAAGTTTATTCTCACTTGCTTAAAAAACTTGAGTAATTTTCAAGAACTTACTCTAAGGGCATCTTTATTGCTAAATCTTTAACTATAATCTTGCAAACAAGATATAAAATTTTCCAGATCTTGAACTAGGAAAGGAGAGAAGATCTCCACACTAAAGGATGAATTTTTTTCACAAGAACTCTCAAGATCTCCCATATATTAAGAAAAAAAATATACTTTAAAAATATTTGTTCATGGATGCAACCAACTTTCATAAACAAATTCAGGTATATGTGCAACATTTGATTCCGACAACAATGATTTTCATAGAGTAATGAGAGAATAACAATATGGGGAGGGAGATAAAGGTGGAGAGAGAAAAAAAGAAAAAGAAGGAAAAGGGAAAGGAAGGAGGAGGTTAAGATAGAGAAAAAGAAATAAAGAGAGGTCACTAGGAGCGAACGGAGGAAAAAAGGAAAAGAATAAAAAGTCAAAGAGACATGGGAGGTGCTACGGGTGGAAAGAAGGAAAGAAGATAAAATAATAAAAGAGAAACAAATTATAAAAATTTAAAATTATTCTTTATATATAGTTTTATTTTTCTTTTTAATTTTAAATATTTTTATATTATTTTTGAAATAAATTTAAATCAATATAATTAAAAATCTTATTTTAAGTTTGTTTAAATTATAAATATATTCTTTTTTACTATCATTATTATTCATATTGATATAATATTTTTTATATTTTAATTTTTAATGATTAAAAATATTAAACTATATTTTTGGTGGGATCTACATGAATTATACAAGATCTCAATATAAGATCTACTAAAGCAAAAATTAGATAAGTCATGAGAGATCTTATATCTTATATAACAGTGTTAGACCCACAAAAAAGTAAAGTAAGATCTCATATAGATCTTAATATTAAAGATGTCCTAAAACCAATTGTTGAAAAGAATACATGAAATCAAGAGTGAGATTAATTGAATTATAAAAAAATTGAAACATTTCCACAAATAGAATGATCAAATTTTTACTAATCAATACCAAACGAGACATTATTGGTTCATCTACTTATCAATATGATTAGTCGTAAGCAAGAACAAATAATATGGACAAGATAATAAGGCACAACTAGACATATATGAATAAGTATAAGTATAAATGTGATAAATTTACGCAGAACCGACCTTAATAAGCACTAGACAAGAGTAGTGCAAAGCACAATGTGATAAACTTATGTAGAACCGACCTTAATAAACCTTTCTTGCTTGAACAATATCAACCATTGATGGAGTTAAAGAACATGTTTTGATAATTTTTTATCTTTTAAGAAAACATTTGAACTAGTTTAAGCTTAGAGTAACAATATAAAATTTCTCAAAATGTTTCAAGTTAAAGAGATTTGAGGTGTGAAGTCATGCTAAAGATGTTTAAGACACAAAGTTATGCTAAATATCCTCATGAGGTGAATTTGAGTTAAATATATTTAAAGGCTAACCAAAAAATGTCAAACATTCAATGAAAGACAAATTTATAAGTATTAAACACAAATCGAACCTCATAGAATAATTCAGAAATTCCCCTAAAAGGAATATCAAGATTAAAGATGGAGGCTGAGATGATTTTGTATTTCATGGTTTCATGCAAAAAGTAGAAATAGGGAGTCTTGCATAATGAAGGATATGGGCTGGTGTGGTTGAATTCAGTCCAAGAGGAGTAGGTTGAAGATGAAGTGAACAAGGAAGAATAGATATTTTTCTCTGTTTTTTCTGTTGTTTGACTTTCTCCTCAATGTAGCTATTCATCTCCTGTATTTGGGTCTTGAGTCTTTTGATCTCCATTTCTTTAGTGTGATACAGTTCTTCAAAAATGGTGTTATTCCAATCTTCTTCTAACCTCGAGAGCTTTAGAAAAAGTTGTTTGTAATTGGAGTTATTTGTCATAAGTAAAATAAAATTTGTAATGTTACTAAAATAAATTAGTTCAACTATTTTGTTATGTATTTAAGTTATAATTTAGCTTATCAATTGAATTAGTTTTAATATATTCTATTAGCCCCATCTTATTATGTAGAAGATTATAAAAGTTACACGGAAGGTTTGCCACAGGAGTGTGGTGGTGCCCACGGATATGTGAGTTGCGCTAGAAGAGACAGTTGCATATTAGTCCCGCATTTGGGAGGTGCTTTAGTAGAAATAGACTCAACTCGTTGATTTGATGTATCTAATTTAATATTGTCCAATTCAGTGGAAACATTGTAATTAAGTGGTGATTTTTTTGTTAGAAGTAATTGATATTCAACGCTATATTTGAGTTTAACTTATGACAAGTGCACCTTAAAAGAATTTCAATTGTTCGCCAAAGCATTCTTTAGATTTATGCAATTTTTTCTACAACATTGAAAATGTTGCGTACAAAAAGGTTAAATTTTGCAGTCTCCTGAACATGTTTCCGGAATATGTTTTCATCATTGTATATTGATTGAATTAGTACATTGCATGAAGGAAACATTTTCAATATGGATACGTGAACAATGAAAATGTCCAAAGTAAACGTTATGCAATACGGATGCAATGAGGCTTTTAATATTTCTCAAATTCAAGTATCTCAGGATTAGAAGATCAAATATTTTATCTGGAAATAGTTCACAATTATTAAGTGAGAGTTGTTGCAAAGACGTAAGATGGTAAATATATCCAGTACAGAAGATGATATCACGATGCTAATTAAGGTCTTTCGTCAATGAAGTATCAACCCGAAAATGTAAACACACAGAATAAAACTCTACTTGAATTCTGCTCATAAACATGCCTGCCTAAGGGAAATTGGGGGATCTGAGAAGACACCAGAAAGAATTTGCTTTGCAATCAGGAGGTTTGCAGCTTGAGAGTAGTGTATGCCATCCCAGCTAACCAGCTGAGATGCATTTTTACATGCATTACCATAAACTGTTTCATTTTGTATGCTTTTCTTCCCACAAGTTATTTGGTAACCATGGTAACTGCCACAACAAAACTTCAAAGGGTTGAAAAAACCTGCAAAAGCATGCTTAAAAGTTAATTATATCAAAAAACAACCAAGATGATGCTATCAATCCATTTTTGTGTAAGAAAAGATCACCTAGCTTCCTTGCTTTACTGACAAGTTCATATTTTGCTTTATACACATCAACATAAGTTAACTTTGCTAGAGGAAGATTTCTCTTTAACTGAGATATTTGGTCCTTGAGTTGCCTATTAAATTCTTGAGCGATCTCATTCTGAGGTTTGACACATCCATTGGCATCCAGATTACCCTGCTTTGACTCATAAGAAAGGAAATTTAAGGGCAAGCACCCAATGGGGCCTGTGTTGTGAATCCAGAATAATCTTGCTCCTTCATTGTATAGTTGCTAAAACATCAGACATCACAATTATTAGCTCTAAAGAATAATTGTAATATGATTTTCAAAGTCAAGGCCTTTGGTTGCTTACCTGCACTGATTGGGAAAATTGTCTCAAGATATTAGGAATGGAGTCTCGAACTTGTTCCTCTGACATGTGCTGAAAACCATAGGCAAGATCATTTTGTCCAATGTCAAAAGTGTATAAGGCCCTAGAGAAGTCATCAGGTCTCGGAATACTGCTTTTAAAAGATAGTTTTGTTCCTAAAATATCACGTAAGACAAGGTCAGATTACTTACTAATTGTTTATAAAAGATAAATTATATTTCAGAAATTTCGCAGACTTGGTCACAAGGAATTAACAGGGAAGAGTGCTAACAAAGTATGGTTTACACACTTTATTATATTGTTAATTAAAATTTATTAAAAACTATAAAATTATGAAAATGTTATCAGATAAGAAGAAAAAAAAAAGTGATTTTTAACAAAACCTAACTAATCTCTAGTGTGTTCAAAAGCAGAGCACTGATAAGAAAGTGTCCAGCATTACTCACCGACCATTCTGCTTTGAAAAAGCTGAGTTTCTCAATAATGTAGTCTGTTTACTTTTGTACTTTATTAAATTCTCAATTATGGAGAATGTTGGAAGCATAGTGGGGGAAGAGAAACTAACTGTTGGTATCAGAGCGCTGATAGAAGAGAATCTTAGTGCGGGACTTGAACTGTATGAACTGCGATATTTGAAGACCAAGATGAAAAGGACTGTAACCACCAGGAAGAATTGATGAGCCTCCTGTTGCAAAGTTGGCACCATGCCTGTAATTGGATCCAACCGGGTTCAAATAAGCACTGAGGTATGTTAGCTTCAATTCTTCAGCTGTACAGATAGGTTCACAGAATGGAGTGATAAACATAAACATACATAGGAATCAGAAGAACCCTATCAAAGAATGATGGAAATAAACCTCAATATCAAAGTGTGTCCATGTTGTGAATAAGTGAAGGGTGATTAAAGAGTGTTTTGCTTACTTATGAAATCAATTATTAGACGACCATCACAAGCCCTTCCCGAGATATTTCCCAAGAAGTTTTGGCCATTGGGAGGAAGCACCACTGTGAATGCTGCTGATATGGCTCCGGTGTCTGAGTTTGAGTCGCCGAAGTTGAAAATTGCCGGGTACTCACAGAAGTTTGAACCTTGCACAATCGAGGGTGAAGTGAAGACAGCAACAAAACTCAAAAAAAGACATTTGAGTACAAACATGAGCATACTTGATGGGTTACCAGTTACGAGCTGTTTTGGTTAGAGAATTTGCCTTTATGAAAACTGGCATTCACGTGCATATGGAAGGAAAAAACTTATCCTAGCTACTCACACTAAAAGTACCTTTCAAGTATTTTTATTTAATGGAATGTTTGTTTTTATCAGTATTTTAATGGTATATATATATATAAACAATGACTTGATACAGTAATTTTTATGTAAATAAACAAAGTTCTATTATGAATATTCTATTATTAGAATAATAGTTTATTCATGTTTTTTTTATTGTCTTCGTTTTTTATTTTATAATATTTTTTTTGTTAATTTAGATTATTTACTTGTTATTATTATGTTTTTATAAGGTCAAGATTCATAAGATTAATTAGGTTTATGTTTCACACTTATAATAGTAAATACCTCTTTTACACCTAAAATAAAAATAATTTAATTTTATCTTTATAGATATATTTGCAATAGATGAAATAAACATAAATAAAGATAGGTGAATCTTGTTTTAGTAACTTATTAGAATGATAATTATTTATCAAAGTCTTTTATTTTAATATAATATTGTGGAGTTTGAAAAAATCATCTTTTAAGCTTCATTTCTCATCATGTTATCATGCATTAAGTCTCAATACGGATACATTTTATTGTATATTATTATTTCTTCTATCGGTTATTCATTATAATTAACTCGTTAGGTCTTCAATCCTTTGGAATTTTTCTTTAGGGAAGTAAAACTTTGTTGTTTGTTTTAAAAAAAAATCATATTTATTGAGTATCATTATCTTTTGGAATGATCATAAGAGGATAAAAATTGAGTTGTCTTTAAGATGAATTAACAAGTTTGGAATCTAGTGAATTATGATGGTAATGGTTAATTTCACAAAGATGTCTCATAAGTTAAGTCTTATAACTTTCATCCAAGGATAAGTTTCATATATATAAGTTTAATTACCATAATTGTCCTATAGGATTTTGAAAATAAGGATGATAGATAATGAAAAAAGAGGTTAAAGAGTCAAGAGACTCTTTGTATTTTTCTCCTTGTTTCTCAAAGTCTAAAATTTTTTAGTTCTTGTCTCCACCAAGACAAAGGAGAAAATCATCCAAAATATAAATTCTCCTTATAAGGGTTTGTGAGAATTTTGTATGTCATTTGGGTCTTCAAAGCAATGGGCATGAAGTATTAGATAATATTACACTAGATTACCCAAATAGTTTATTCGCAAAAGTCCAATATGGGTTCACATAATAGTTCAAAAATCTCCTCAAAAAAGAGTGTTGGTATCAAAAATAGTTATTTCATGGTTTCATAGAGGAAGTAGAAATGATGTGATTTTGCATATTAAAGGATTTTTGTTGGAGAGGTCATTGTCAATCCAAGAAGATACATTTTTACAGTTTTTGCTTTATAAGATACAGACTTCATCATAAATATGAGAGGAAAGTTGTGTATGGTTGAGATTATTTAGAAAATTTTCTTTAGTCTTAGAGAGAGAATCAGGGACTAAATTTTTATTTCCTTTTATATATTTGACAAAAAAATCATACTTGGAAAACCAATCCTTAAGTCTAAAGGATTTGTGGGTCTAGAGGCATTTTATTTTTGAATTCCAAAATTTTTGGAAAGGAAAAATTATACATTTGTACTTCAAATGATGGCTCCTTAGATGAAAATCAAACTTTTTATGTCTTTTTTACTACTAAGACTTCTTTGAATATAGTGTGGTAATACTTCTCTATCTCCTTGAATTGCTTACTAGCATGTCCACATTAGTATCTCTTATCATTTATTTCTTCAATGAGTATTGCTCTCCAATAACTATTACTAGTATCAGTTTGAAGTATCCTTTTTGCATTTTCAAGAATTTCTAGCATTGGTAGGGCTTGAGAAATTTTCTTTAGCTCTTGAACTACTCAAGTTTGTTCTGATTTCAAAGGCTGAGGATTTTTCTTTAATAATCTTAACAAGAGATTTGTATACTTTTTAGCATGATAATGAAATCTCCGATACAATTTAGAGTCCCTAAAAATTGCTAATGGTTAAATTTCCACCAGAAAATTTTAAAAAGTTCTTTAACAATATGAGGTTGAGGCTGTTAGGTTCCTTGTGAGAAATGCATCCCTAGAAACTCAATGTTCTTTGGGCTAGATGGATTTTCTTTTCTGAGAGCATGATCTCATATTGATTAGCTATCTCAAAAACTTGGTCTAGCAATTTCTTTTGAGAATTTATATCTTGGGACAATAGTAGGATACCATCAATGTAGATGATGAATTTGTCTAAAATGGACTCGGAAATTCTTGTCAAGGCCTTTTGAAATAAGGAAAGAGCTACTTTTATACAAAGGCATTACCTTCCATTGGTATTGGGCATTAGGAATGCAAAAGGTTTTTTAATACCTATCCATGAGATCAATTCCTAATTGTAAAAATCCTAACTTGAGGTCAAACTTGGAAAAAATACTAGCATCTTTGATCAAAGAGGGTGAGGAGGATGTTTTCAGGATAGGAAATTTATCATCTTTGAGTAATTGATTAAGAGATTTATAATCTATGACTAACTTTTTTTTTTCTTGGATCTTCTCAAATATTTTCTCCACATAAAAGGCTTAACAAACCCAATTTGACTAGGTTGGTTTATCAATCCTTGTCGAGCTAGCTGAAGACATCTTGGATGAGTAGTCTTTGTAGAATAACATTTTCATTGAGCTTGAAAGAAAGTTGGACAAAATACTCAGGATTTTTCCACAAAAGGTTTGGATGAGGGAGTTCTTCATGGTTATTAGTATACAAGGAGGCTAATTTAACTTTTACTTCTTCTAAGTTGGAAGGGCTTCCGAGAGAGAAAAAGGCCTGGGGATCTTTGTGAAAGATTTGAACTCTTTCTTGAACTTTACCCCAATAGAATGGATTTGGAGTTTATTTGGAGAAGAGTAAACATACATTTCTACTAGTATATCTTTGTTTGGAAGCTTGATTCCAATTATCTTTGACCAAACAATACATTCTGAAAGAATTTGATCCCAGACGAAGCCCTTGTAATAAGATCAGTTTTAAAAACCTTCCCATAAGCAATAATAAAATAATATATTTCCTTTTTCCAAAAAATTTTGGGTAGGATGGTTGGATCTATCATTGAGTTATAAGCCCAATGTAAGTTATTGCTTTCATGAAATACTCAAATTTAGAGAGAAAAAGTTGTACCTCTATGCATGACTATGGTGGTGCAATATTAATTGGATGCATTTATTGGAAAGAGAAGATTATGACTTTCTTTGTTTCGATTTCAAAGTTTGAGTAGCAAAATTATGATTCATCAAAAGATAACGTGAGAGCAAAAATAGTTTCTTCATCAACAAAAATTTGTTCAAAAAATATGATGGAAATATTCTTCCTCCTCTCCACTAAATATTCTTTTCATAGGTGCAATAAGACTTGAAGCTTGGACCTTCTAGCTTAGAATTGGCGTTCTTTGGCCGAAAATGGTGCAGCCATTTTGTTCCATCTCAATGTTCTTCCTTGCTCCTCTCTTTATCATTTTGTCTCCTTCAAGTCCCTTATTGCTATGGTGAAGATGTTTCCAAGTGTTTATATACCAAGAAATTTTCATAATGTGCAACCAAGTGAGGTGAGTGAAGGAGTGATCGTGAGTTTCCTCTCCATGTAGCATTTTCATTGTTAGGTCGTGGCTTAGTCCCCTCTTTAAGAGGACAATTTGTAAAAAATGACCATTTCAATGTTCTATTCCCTAAAAATGGAAGTCCATAAAGGTACTAACTCTTTTAGATTTTTAAATTTTATATTAGTAGTTAGATTTAAACTTGAATGTAGGAGTTAAGTTCAAACTTTATTTCGGAAAATGACTTTAAAGTTGACTCATTTTAGGTTTAGATTTGATCTTGAGAATTAGATTCAATTTTAACCTTAAGAATTAAATTTAAACTCTAACTTTAAAAATAATTCATAATCAACTCATTTTATATTAAGATTATTTTTATGTTTCAACTTGACATTTAAGAGATAAATTGAAATCAATTCATTTTAGGTTTAAATTCAACATGTAAGAATGTATTCAAAATCAATTTATTAAAAAATTTAGTTAATTTTAAGAATTAAGTTCAAACTTAACTTTTAAAAGATTTAGGTCAACTTAGTTTATTTTTAGTCCAATTATAATATTTTGAACTCACTTTAGATAATATTAGCTTAAACTTTACATTTATTAAAATTTATCCATAGATCCAAGTTTAGAAAATATTTCCTCTATCTTAAATTTAGATTTGAATTTAATCGGTAAATAATAATAACTTATAGTAAATATTGAATTTCAACCTTCCCTTATATAATATTCATTGAAACTTGATTTCAATAATATTATTTTAAATTTTATTCAATAATATTGATTTAGACTTTTGATCTTTAAATAATATTTATTTGATCTTCGATTTAAACATAATCTTAGATAATATTGACTCATACTCTATCCTTAACCTATAATATTGACTCGAGCTCATCTTAATTTACCTTTAAATAATATTACCTCATATTTGACTCTTAGATCATGTATACAACCTGTAATTAAATTAAATAATAAATTTTTATTTTAAAATATAACTTGTAATTTAAATTTTATCTTCAAATAAAATTCTTCACAAGTACTAACTTTACAATATTTGTTGTGCTCAAAGTTGTAGATTTTCAAAAATAAAAACATATAGTTATTTTCTATCTTCCTATTATTAGATATGCCCATATTTAATTTATAGTATTATTCTGTAATAGTATAGAATATTAAATTTCTCATCACAATTTTTTTAACTAATTTTATATTTTTCAGCAGTAAAAGTATAAGGAAATAATCAATATTCTTTTATCCATATTCTCCGCATGATTTACACGTGGGTTTTCGAGTAGTACATAAAAATACACGAAGAAATTGTCACAGGTCAGAATAAAAGAAGGAAAAATAGCAAATTACATAATCATATGATGCAGAATGGAATATTGGAATGCAAAAAAAGAAAGAACAAAGCATGCTGATATACGAATTAAAAATAGTACTGGAAACAACTTCACAACTATAACATTACAATATGGTCCGTCCCTTGTCATTTGTCATAAACTGAAATGATTTATGATGACACGTATCCATAATCCATTGAAGCAAATTACTTAGGCCAACATTTAATAGACACTACTACATAAATACATGTGAATTCATACTATGACCAGGACTGCTTAATACTAACAACAGAATGAGGCAAAAGGGTAGGCCTGCAGAAAGTGAGGGAAGTTTAGCAGTGCACTGTACATGCCAAGACATATCCTGCGTGTGATTACTCTTTGGTGTGACCAAATTTCATATGGTCTCAGTAACATGTGCAACAACTGAAATTCTGTACATCATGGTGTTTGCATGCAACTATTTGGGGGCTAATGTGATTGGACAGATAGAGAAAGCAATACAACGAGCTGCTTTTGCCAGCATAAACCGCTCTTTTTCATTCAATGGCCTTTCAATCACCTTCACAACGTTAGCATCCTAAAACAACAAAGATCAGGCAGTGATTAAATGACTAGTGTTGCTGTAAGAAATACAACACAACCGAATTCTAGCTGTTTTTACTTAACACACAATGCAGCAACCGTGAAGAAAGGAATAGAGACTGCTCTCACAATTACAATCAAATATTAGCAGTGATAAGGAAGAGCAGAAAGCAAATTTTTAAACTGCAAAAGATATTTCTTTAGGTCAATTAGGTTCACTTGCCAGTGCCTAAAGAATTGCTAAGAAAAATTGTTCTATAGGAAAGCAGATCATATAAGAGTATATGTAGATAAATCAAAATGCAAAATGCAAATATTGATTGAAAGCATACTTTCTGCTGGTGCTGAACAGAAGGCCGAACGTTAGCAGTTTCACCAATCACAATTATATTGTTAACATTTCCCCTGTCATCCCTTTCGGCTGGTGAAGCAGTTGAATGCTTCCATTGTCCATTTACGATGAACTTGTAGTAATACCTGATGGAAAGGAATGATGACACATTCATGTGCAACAAAATCATTAAATCATGCAAAATGTAGCAAACAATGTTACATTGTCCGGTATTGTTTTGGGTCAGTGGTGAAGAAGCGGGGTAGTGGGAGACTGTTGAACATTCAAGGACTTGATGTTGCACTTGATGGACATGAAGATTGTTGATTTTGATGATGATTCAAGAACTCAAAGACTTAGAGTGTTGAAGACTTGTTTTGTATTGTAATAACTCTGTTTCAATTAGATTGAGTCTGTAATATTAGTGTTTAAGATAGCCGGTACATAGTCTGCACCTTAGAAGCTTCAAAAAGCTCAAATTTATCATCCAGGCTCGGCTTTAATCGATTAAATAGGGAAATAATCGATTAAAACAGTGAGAAAAACAATTTTTTGTATCTGCTCACTGGTTTAATCGATTAAAACTCCTGTTAATCGATTAACAGGCGGTTTAATCGATTAAAACCCCTTTTAATCGATTAAAACAGTGAGTTTCAGGGTTCTGTTGATTTTGGCTCTGTAATAATCAATTAACTCTTGATTTAATCGATTATTTCAGTCATATTTCGAATTTTAACTTCAAATCAACCCTATTTTCGAAAACCCTTTTCCCAAGAACCCTTATTCCGAAATTCCCAATTCCCAAACCCTAATTTCTCTACTTAAGCTTCTCTATGGCACTCAGAAAAGAAGAACAACCTTTTTCATACAAAAGTTAAGTGCTGTAGTGCCAGAGAACTGTTTGTTGCAAGAAAAAGGGGCTTTTGGAACCTGGTGTGGGCTAGAAGCGATAAGAATCACTAAGTGGAGTTCTTAGTGGATTGTGTGTTGTGCCGTCTCTAGGGAAAGTTGTTCATCATCTCTTGTGGATTTCAAGAGAGGTGTTTTCTTATCTTTATCTTTTCAATTGTAATCTGTTTGTAACAACTTGATTATAGTGACAGATGTTAATCCTCTGTTTGAGTGATTAGCAACCGGACGTAGGGTCTTTTGATCCGAACCAGTATAAATTTCCCGTGTAAGATTCTCTTCTCTTCTCTATTTACATTTACACAGCTTTTAATCGGTAAAATTTGGGGAAAATTTTGAAAACCTAATTTTTATTAAGAAACCAATTCACCCCCCCTCTTGGTTTTTGTCCGACCACGCGAACATTCCGCTGCGCGATTCTAACAAGTGGTATCAGAGCTTACTTTGATAGTCATTCAAATTTTCAAAAATGGCCGGACAAAATCAAACTTTTGCCGAAGGTGCGTCTATCAACAGACCCCCACTTTTTGCGGGTCAAAATTATCCTTTTTGGAAGGTACGAATGCAAATCTTTTTAGAGTCTGTTGATAGAGGCGTCTGGGATGCTATTTTAAACGGTCCATATATTCCTAAAGTTACTGAGAACGGTGTTGACGTTCCTAAACCTTTTTCTAGATGGACTGCAGAAGAAAACAGAAAAACACAATTTGACGTTAGGGCTAGAAATATTATTTCATCTGTTTTAACCCTTGACGAGTTTTACAGGATCTCTGTTTGTAAGAGTGCTCAAGAGATGTGGGAAAAACTAAGAGTAACTTATGAAGGAACCGATGATAGTGACTCAATTTCGGAGTCAAGTGATTTGGAAATAGAAGCTAACATTTGCTTGTTGGCAAAAGACAATATATCTTCCGACTTTGAGGTTAGTGATTCCGACTCATCCTCAAGTGATGATGAAAATGATTTTGATGAATTACAAAATGCATATAATGAATTGTTTAGTGTCTTTAAGGACTTGAAAAATGAATATAAAGCTGTGAAAAAGAGTTTAAGTAGATCCGAAAAGGAGGTAGAGTCCTTAAAAACGAAAATTGCATGTTTAGAGGAAAAGAAAACCTTAGAAACGAAAATTGTATGCTTAGATGAGAATGATGATAAGAATATAGTATGTGCATCTTGTAAAGAATATGAGTATGACATAGATATACTTAATCATTTGCTTGATAAAGCCAAAAAGGAATTGAGTAATAATAATAAGGATAAAATTGTTGTAACTCAAAATAGTGTAAATCATCAAGTTTCTATGAAAAAGCCTAAAACTAAAAAGAGAAGAGTATGGGTGGAAAAAGGAACTAAATTATCTATTGTTAGAAATACATCATTTTCAAAAGCTACATCTAAAGCATGTTTTTATTATATGAAACATGGTCATACTTCAAATAGATGTAAAATAAAACATTTTGGTGTTCCTAAAGGAAAATATATTTGGGTTCCTATAGTTAAATGAATTGTTTGTCTCTTGTATTTTTTCAAAGAAAATTAATCATTTAGTATGTTTTGAATAGAATGCTCATTAAGTCAATTATAAAATCAACTCCCTATGAATTGTTAAATGATAGAAAGCCTAATGTTGCTCATTTGAAAATTTTTGGATGTAAGTGCTTTGTGTTGAATAATGGAAAAGATAACTTAGGAAAATTTGACTCTAAAGCCGATGAGGGCATTTTCTTAGGTTATTCATTAACTAGTAAGGCTTACAGGGTGTTTAATAGAAGAACTTTGAATATTGAAGAATCTATTCATGTTACTTTTGATGAGATTATAGACCTTGGGGGAAATCCTCTTGAGTAAAATAAAGAACTTGCAGGTGATGATTAATATATAAGAGAGGCTCTTGATGAATTATACTTGGAAGAAAATGAGCCTTCTCAAACACCTGACTTAGCAAAAGAATGGCAATCACCAAGAGGACTCTCAATGGACAATATCATAGGTGATATTTCAAAAGGGGTAAGAACTAGAAACATGTCTAACTTTTGTATGTCTGTAACTTTTGTGTCTCAGATAGAACCCAAAAATGTGGAGGAAGCACTTAAAGATGAACAATGGTGCATAGAAATGCAAGAAGAACTTAACCAATTTGAAAGAAATCAAGTCTGGGAAATAATCCCAAGGGAAGAATCACATCAAGTTATTGGAACCAAATGGGTGTTTAGAAATAAGCTTGATGAAGATGGGAACATAACAAAGAATAAAGTCAGACTTGTTGCAAAAGGCTATTGTCAGGAGGAAGGTATAGACTATGATGAAACTTATGCTCCTGTTGCCAGAATTTGCTAAGATAATGCAGGGAGAGTTTGAAATGTCTACGATGGGAGAATTGACGTTCTTCCTTGGACTACAAATCAAGCAACTTAAAGATGGCATTTTCATCTCTCAAACCAAATACTGCAAAGAGATCCTTAAAAAGTTTGGAATGGACACCTCTAAGGAAGCTAACACACCCATGGGAACTTCATGCTATCTAGACAAGGATGAATCAGGTTTGGAAGTTAATCAATCTATGTATAGAGATATGATAGGTTCACTGTTATACTTAACTGCAAGTAGAACTGATATTATGCATTCTGTATGTGTGTGTGCTAGATTTCAGGCTTGTCCAAAAGAATCTCATATAATTGCAGTAAAACATATTTTAAAATATTTAAAAGGAACTAGTGGTTTTGGTTTATGGTATCCATCTGATGCTTGCACTAGTCTAATAGGATATTCTGATGCTGATTATGGTGGATGCAAAATTGATAGGAAAAGTACTAGTGGGACATGTCATTTGTTAGGTTCATCCTTAGTATCTTGGCATTCTAAGAAACAAGCTAGTGTTGTTTTATCTACCACTGAAGTTGAATATATTGCAGCTGGCAGTTGTTGTGCTCAAATTCTGTGGATGAAACAACAGTTAGAAGATTACAGTATATTTTTAAATGGCATACCCTTGATGTGTGATAATACGAGTGCAATTAATCTTACTAAGAATCCAGTAATGCACTCTAGGACTAAGCACATAGAAATTAGGCATCACTTTTTGAGAGATCATATCAGCAAAGGGAACTGTAAAATAGAATACGTTGATACAAAGCATCAATTAACAGATATCTTTACTAAGCCTCTACCCAAGGATAGATTTTATGATCTTAGAAGAGACTTAGGGATATTAGAAATAGCTTAAATTCTGCTTAATAAGACAGTTTTTGGATGATTGTAACGTTAAAATTCATTATACAGGATGTTCATAGTTTATCATGTGTTAAAACCTCAAAAATATGATGTACTCTCTGGAATAATTGATTAATTGGAGTAATAATCGATTATTTGCATCCAAAACACTCAAAACAGGGCATTCCTCTCTGGATTAATCGATTAATTCGATAATTAATCGATTAAATACAGAATTAATCGATTATCTGCACAATATAATCGATTAAATGGTTCTGGCACTGGTTTAATCTGAGTTTTAATCGATTAAACCTGGCAAATTTGGCCTCCTAGCCGTTGCCAACGGATCTCTTGACCTATATTCACTTCCAAATGACCGTTGGACATGCTTGATTATAAATAGGGGCCTCCATTTCACTTCTACTCATTACTATCTCTTGAAATCAAGCTTTCTTGCCCTCTTCTTACTACATTTAGCTTTCTAAATCTTCTTGTTATTCCTCAAATCTTTCAATGGCCTCATCTTCTCGTGCTAAGATCCCTACTAGAAGAAGATCTGCACCCTCATCTCGTCCCCGTCCTAATTCTGTAGAAGGATGGATTTATGATACAGATGGCCAACAAGAATTTCTGACCTATTGGAAGGAACGTGCCATTATCTCTCCCAAGTTTCTTATTGGTGAGCAATTCATCAATAGGGGATTCAATTTTCCCAACCTTCTTGAAATTCAATGAGTTTTTCCCTTCATCCAAATGCAAGGTACGTATTATCCTGACCTTGTTAGGGTATTTTACTCTAGATTTAAATTTAGAGATCAAATTGCTACCTCTAGAGTAAAAGGCGTCACAATTATTCTTGACGATGATATTTGGGAAAACGTCGCTCACTTTCCAATTAGAGAAGATGCTATTAACATTTATGGTGAGCTAGATGATTTTGACAGGTTCTTAGCTTACCGTTCTTTTCTACGAAATCCCTCCATGGAGATTGGGCATCTCCTTCTTGCTGGACCTCTAAAGAAGGAGGAACGCATGATTCTACATCTAATTGTCTGGATCCTTTGTCCCCGGGCTACAAATCATGCTCAATGTTCTTCGATTGATCTTAGGATTATTCATGTCATAATGAATAATGAGCCCTTAGATTGGGGCGTTCTTGTCACCATGACAATGTTAAAAGCAAAACGCCATCCCACCTTCAAAATTCCATATGCTCTCCTTGTCTCTCGGATTCTTGAATATAAGGGAGTCAATGTCGAAGGTGAACAAACAGTAAGAACAAATAACCTGAATCGCATGCTTGACAGCACATTGATCCAACTACAAATGGTGCGTGTCAATGACATCTATGTTCACAAGGATGACGTTCCGAATCAAGGTGGTGACAATGAAGATTCTGATGAAGATATGCCTCCTGCTGCTGAGTTTCCCTCTGATCAAATCCAAAGTGTTGGAACTTCCTCTACTCATCATGAAACCCGACAATCCATGGAAGACATGTTATCTGACATGAATCAGAGGATGCAGTCATTCTTCACTCTTTCTGGAGTACGGCATGAGGAAACAATTCGCCATATATCTGATGTAGATGATAAAGTGTGCCGCTTAGAAAATAGATTTGATGCACACTTTCATAGTGATGATAGTGAAGAATTTTAAAATTTGTAATTTTTCTCTTATATTGTAATGAATGCTTTTATCTAAAATAAAATGTGGTGTTCTGTTTTTGCTATGTTTGAGGGGGAGTTTTCTCTAAGTTATGCATATTTTGAGGGGAAGCTCTTATGTTTGTCATAGAAGAATTATTTTTTATTATAATCAAAATAGGGGGAGAAATATTTAAAGCCTAATATTATTGTTTTTAAATATTATCTGGTATGTTTAATGTGTTTGTTAGTATGACAGATAAAACAGGTTATTACAAGGTTTTAAAAGATAATTTTGATCATCATCAAAAAGGGAGAGATTGTTGAACATTCAAGGACTTGATGTTGCACTTGATGGACATGAAGATTGTTGATTTTGATGATGATTCAAGAACTCAAAGACTTAGAGTGTTGAAGACTTGTTTTGTATTGTAATAACTTTGTTTCAATTAGATTGAGTCTGTAATATTAGTGTTTAAGATAGCCGATACATAGTCTGCACCTTAGAAGCTTCAAAAAGCTCAAATTTATCATCCAGGCTCGGCTTTAATCGATTAAATAGGGAAATAATCGATTAAAACAGTGAGAAAAACCATTTTCCGTATCTGCTCACTGGTTTAATCGATTAAAACTCCTGTTAATCGATTAACAGCGGTTTAATCGATTAAAACCCTTTTAATCGATTAAAACAGATGAGTTTCAGTGGTTCTGTTGATTTTGGCTTCGTAATAATCGATTAACTCTTGATTTAATCGATTATTTCAGTCAGATTTCGAATTTTAACTTCAAATCAACCCTATTTTCTAAAACCCTTTTCCCAAGAACCCTAATTCCGAAATTCCCAATTCTCAAACCCTAATTTCTCTACTTAAGCTTCTCTATGGCACTCAGAAAAGAAGAACAACCTTTTTCATACAGAAGTTAAGTGTTGTAGTGTCGAGAACCGTTTGTTGCAAGAAAAAGGGGCTTTTGGAACCTGGTGTGGGCTAGAAGCGATAAGAATCACTAAGTGGAGTTCTTAGTGAATTGTGTGTTGTGCCGTCTTTAGGGAAAGTTGTTCATCATCTCTTGTGGATTTCAAGAGAGGTGTTTTCTTATCTTTATCTTTTCAATTGTAATTTGTTTGTAACAACTTGATTATAGTGACAGCGTTAATCCTCTGTTTGAGTGATTAGCAACTGGACGTAGGGTCTTTTGATCCGAACCAGTATAAATTTCCTGTGTAAGATTCTCTTCTCTTCTCTATTTACATTTACACAGTTTTTAATCGGTAAAATTTGGGGAAAATTTTGAAAACCTAATTTTTATTAAGAAACCAATTCACCCCTCTCTTGGTTTTTGTCCGACCACGCGAACATTCCGCTGCGCGATTCTAACAGAGACAGTTTTGTGCTTCTGATACAAAAATCAAATGACAAGAAAAACTCAAATAAATGACACTGGTTAGAATATTAGAAAATGATTTGTGAGAATCTTAGCCAATTAGGTCATCAAATTGAGAAAGATAAAAACATCCACAGAATAAGAAAAAAATAAATATAGTAAATTTAGCACATACTTTCCTTGTGGAAGTTTAACTTCTACTTCATGTCTTGATCCACCTAGGTGCTTTGCCTTGAGTGGTTCTTTCCAATTTCCAGTGAAGTCTCCTACCAAAGTTACATCCTCTCCCTGAAACATTAAAACCAAAAGGAGTGATATGAAAAACCCTAAGAACCTTTAAACTATGACAATCTCTCGGTCCTCTTTAAGAATATCAACAGATAAATCACCCAGAGAACCACATTGAAGGTTATAAATGACAAGTTTGTGACCTCATAAGATGACCATTCCATTCAAATTGAGGAATATAAAACAGAAAGGATTATAATGAACTATCATTGATCAATCGTACTAAAAGTATAACAAAAAAAAAGAAATCTTCTAACTCAAGAATCAATAGATAAATTAGCAACAAAACAGCAATGGAGATATAACTTCATACCTCATGACCATTCCACACAAATGTGACAGCATGTGTAGGAGGTCCATCATGTTTGCCATTTTCAACCATAGCTATAAGATCCCATGTTGCCCATGCAATTGCCGGCCTGCAGTTACATCTCTATGAAATGCTTTTTCTAAACGAGAAAGTGAAATATCAAACCAAATTTTTATTTGAAACTAAAAAGCATAACAATACCAACCATTTCCCACAGCATACTCAATTTGTTAAAAGGACTACCATCACTAATAATGCACAACCTTTATTATCTTACCAAATAATCCATAAGAGTATGGCAAGCAAACAGAATAAAACAGAACAATTTATCTTGTTTCGTTCTCCTAAAAGGTGAAACCAAAATGTACCACTTTTTGTAGCTTTATGTTTTGTCTTATTCTCTTTTTGAAATACACAACAAAGCATACAGCCGCCATGTGTCATGTTCCATCCCATTCTTCCCTATCTACCAAACACTGCCTTATTATGGTTTCCCACATTCACACAAATAGTGGCCAGTGACAGAAACCAAAAATAACTGTCTGAAAGAGACCATCAAGAAATCATATAAATATTCTCAGATACCTCCACAAGAAATTACTAATATTAGAACAGTACATCTAAATCATAGAAAATAGTGGATAACATATAAGTTTCTCAACAAACTCAACTAATAGCCAATAATTAATTTAAATTCTTCAGGCTCAGACAGAACTCAGATAAATACTCCCATCATCCCAAAAGAAAAAATAAAAAACTTTGTATAGTTACCCTTTGTTTATAAATTGTAAATAAAATATAAATGATTTTACATGAATACATAACATGATCTCATGTCCTCTTTAACAGAATCAATTGAACAGTAAAGTATGGTGCAAAAAGTGTTTGAAGTTTGGCAAGGTGAACCTGTCAGGTCTGCAAGTGTGCATCCCTGTGACCCAAGTATATGCTGCATGAAGGGAAACATCTGTCATCCAATGTAGATAGGCAATCACACAAGCAGGAGACCGATCAAACCCAGAAGTGCAGGTAACAAAAACACGAAGATTCTTCCTTAACAACCGTAATAAAAGCCCCACACAAAATGGGAGCTTTTTCCTCATGTCATAAGAATCTCCTTCCCTGTAAACAGAATTAAAGAAGCCTCAAATAAAACCAGAAATCATAGTCTGAGAGGAAGTAAAATTAGATTCATCAGAACTTCGCATGCCATTTCCGCAGGAAATATTTTTTTTATTCACTTCACTTGAGTTTAGGATCATTGTATTAAATGACCAAAAAATGTTTATTAATATTCATCTTCTGGCAATTCACAACATATAGTAGCAATCAGATGGGTAAAGAGAGACAAATGAAGCAAAAAATAAATAAAAATGAAGGTAAGACAGTCTAAGCAAGTAAAACATAATGAAGAGTTGTTTGGAGTCTACAGACTTGTTTGAAAAAGCACTTGAGTTTGAGCCTAGAGAGGCTTGTGATGGAATATTGAGAGTTGGGAAGTGAGGATTAGGAATATCCCTGTATCTTTCTATTGTCTCAGTGGCAACCTTGGCTCTGTGAGTGACTAATGCAACCTTAAGTTGTAGAGTGAACCAATATCAATACTAAATGTTGATCTTCTTATCCCATGCATCAATTTATCTGTTTTTTCTAATCGTAGGAGGGAGTAATTTGTAATATTTACAGGAAAAAAAAATTCTTGAAAGTTCTTTTTAATGTATCTGCTTAGCCCTAATATGATAATCTTTTGCTCTAAAACAAACCTCTCTTTGTACAGTACGTTAAAGGTTTTCTAAATAAAATCCGTTAATCTATTAAAAAAATTTTAAAAAACAACAAACCACAATTTAACCCCTTTCTCATGTTTTATATTCTTCATTTCAAAAAGTACCTTGACTGAGTGCATGTGGAAGAACTTATTTACTGCCTGTTTTCTAGTATAGCTGATGAAAATGGCAAATCTTATATAAAAACAATTCAACTTATAGCAATAAGCTTTTTTTAATATGAAAACAACTAACGTAATAAGTACTAATAAGTTATTTACCCAAACGCATACTATAAATGTAACCAATGTAATATCTTAACAAATAAAAGTATTGGATGGAAATATCCCAAAAGAAGACAAAAATTAACATTATTACATAAACACTGCAAATTTTAAACAAAATACTATGTTTTGGACCCTATATTACCGTATAGGATAGTTGATCAAGAGAATATTATTCCTTTGACAGGATCCATTGATGGATTTTGCATTGATTCCCCAATTTTCAGCTTCAGTTCCACTTTGAAAGTTCAGAACAGCAGTAACTCCCTGTAGCAGAAATTTCCTACTATAATGACAGAAGGATATAATGCTTGATATGAAAAGAAAACTCCATATAGTAGTTATTACAATACAAAAAGGAAGTTTTAGGGTAATTAAGAACATAAAAAAAAAATAGAACTCACTGTTCGTTTAGGAGATGCTAAAGTAACAACTGTGGCACATCTGCAGAGTCCAAAATTTTCATGCTACAACATGCCTTTGACTCAAAATACTCAAAAGCTTTGTGAATTTCAACAATGCCTTGGATTTTATAAACATTATGCAGTTAACAGAAGATATTTTTCCTAGCGCACTGCTGTAATAAATTAAATTGCAAATATTGGCTGATACATGATAGCTACAAAAATGTTTTCCTTTTAACACATTCAAGTTTTACAACTGAAGCTTGTAATAAGTAATTCATTTGAACATTGACTATAAGGCATTAAACAAGGATTAGGGAGGCTTTTATGGAATTAAGGTCACAATCTTCATACCTCAACGTTTGACAAGGTTTCTACATCATCTTCTGTTTGTATACAGGATCCCACATATATTTGCTCTGTAATCTAAGAATTTATAAGATATCAATATTTTATACATATTATAGAAAGTATGCTATTAAACAAAACATTGTAATAAAGCAAATCCAATGGATCACATTGCAATTAATGCTATACCTTGCTATAACGCATACCAAGAGAGTGATTATAGTACATCTCATCCTTGGAACGATCTAGAGCCTGAATATACTCTTCAAGTGGGAAACTTCCATGACCCCAATCTCCATCTCCACACACTTCTTCGGTAAAAACACAAGCAAGTTGTGTTGTGTGTTCGGTGAAGAAGTTTCTCTCACCATGGGTGATGGTATTTTGGTATTGGTTGCCCAATAACTTGTTGGCATTTTGTTTAAGAAACTTTGAGTTGAACATCAAAAATCCAGAATTCCCACAGGTCTCACTAGATGGTTGTAAATTTGATGCCAATAGGGTCTTGTTCCATGTGACAATAGGAACTCGCCCTCTATTAAACACTATTTCAATATCATTCATCTTTTGCAGTAGTTGAATGGGAAAAGGAGATGTGGGCCTCTCAAGAACCAAACTAAAAGAACTTGTTTGCTCATTTAACACCTTCCTGAGGAAACCAAAAGACTGAAAAAAATAAAAACAACACACTGATGAACAGAACACATTGTGATGATCAAAGAAATAGTATCTTCACACCTTTCTAAGGCATCTTAGAACTGTGGGGCTATTTCGAGTGGGAAAAAAAGGGGAACAGAAGCAATAATACCATGTTGAGATAGAATTGAGAATTTTCTCTTTTAAATTAAAATAAAAACATAAAGAAGCAGAAACTGAAAATAAAGCATCCATGATATAATGCCAATCTTCTATCTTTTATCATTCCTATTGACCATCATTGGGTAAGCACTTACAAGTCCTGAACCACCAGTTGGGTTATCAAGTGAATGTTATTGAATGGTTATATCAAGGTTTTCAAAACATTTCTGCAACCATGATTTTGGCTGGTGTCAAGGTTTTTGGACTCATCGCTACTACAATAAATTACATTTGTCTGCAATTTGCAGAGTGCCAAGGATCACAACAGATTGCAAGGAAACTATGTAACTGCAGCCACAATTTAAAACCTAAAATTATTTCTAGAATTGATTACACTGACATCCCTAAGGCTTTCTTCAGTGGCACATAATTCAACTGAACTTTACAACAATGTCTCTCTTATAGGTACACCAAACCATACACAATGTAATGTTTTACAAACAATTAAGGAAATAGTACAATGTAAAGGTGAGGCATGCTGGCGTTCATAATGTTTTTCAAAATATAGATGCACAGGCTACGTCGTTATACTTTGATTGGGATGGAATGTTTGTTAATGTGGTGCATTGAGTTCGAATCAAACCCAAAGTTGAAGATAAATAAAAAGAGTGTGCGGTTAATAGCAAATGGGAGAAAAACAAAATGTGTAGTAGCTTTGTGGATGTAAAAAGTTTCTACATGAGAGATTGAAGGATAATATTTATAAGAGAAATAATAGAGGCACACCCAACCAAATTTCAACCCCCACTGAACACCCTTATTATAACTAGAAAAAAATAAAGAAAGAAAATAATAAACAAAGCTGGAAATGTAGGTGTTCTTAGGGTGTTTTACAAATACCACTGGTACGTATATTCCACTCTAACATTTATTGAAAGGTAAAAAATTTATAATATGAATATTGTTATAGATTGTAGATATTATAATTACAAGTATCTAAGTTTAACCGTTTCACCGAATCCAAACATGTCCTAGAGCAAAATCAAGAGGCATACTGTGTATTTCCAACGTCTTTAATCTCAACGAGAGTGTTCTGAGACGAATCGCCAGCTTTCTTCAAAGTGTCGCCCACCATAATTATCCTGGACCTCTCGGCATTACCCTACAACCAGAAAAACAAATAAACCAATAATTTTAAATAAGTTATTTTTCCTCCAAAATGAGCTCATATTGAAATTGGTACATCCAAAAAAAAAATGTATTCTTTTTTAAGCAGATCTTAAAGTGATTGGAACAAAGCGAGATAGGAGTGAATGAATTGATGGTACCCCTTTGGTGAGAGAGTGGACAATGATTTTGCCGTCCGCGGTTAGAGCGAATCGGATGCCGAGGGGCTTCTCGAGAGTGACGAGGTATTCGTTGAGGTTCATCTTGAATGCTGAGCTGCCAGACGCAGCGAAAACCTTAAGGTTGAGGGTTCCCACGTTGGAGCGAAGAAGGTACATCTTGTTGTTTCTGTTGTTGTAGAGGAGGCGAGAGGAGGAACGCGCGTTGGAGCTACTCAAAAACAGCGACGGAGTGTAGTGAGGGCGTGCACCGAATTGCAGTGGAAGCATGGTTGAGGCTGTGGCTATGAAGAAATAGATTGAGTTGAAGCTACTAAGGTTGGAGTATGGCTGGGGAAGCAGAGCATGTGAAGTGAGAAGTGTCTTTTCTTTCCATTATTATTATTATTTTGTCTAAGAATCTAAAGTTTTGAGGAAGAGAGGGCACGAGTCAGGGTAAGAGAATGCGAGGCGCGTGTGGTGATTGCGTGGGACCCAGTTTCTGAACTTTACATGCCACAGAGGAACAGACTGTCTCTCTTCTCTCCTGAACATTTTTGGCGGCTTTCTATTTTGACGGTGCTGTTTAAGATATTTTCGGGCGCTTTACAGAAGGACTATTTCTTTTTAGAAGGACAGCTAGTTCTACCCCATACAATGCACGGTTGTTTTTAAACTATTTTATAAAAATCAATCAATATTAATAAATATAAAATATATATATATATATATAGATATATATTTCAGCACAACTATCTATGTTCATTTTAATATTTTACACAAGTATATAGTATCGATAAAAAAATTCTGCAAAGAATATAAAAGTTTAATTTTTATTTTATAAAAAATATCATGTGATAGATAAAAGAATAAATTATCTCTTATAAATAAAAATAAAAACTAATTGGATATATGTATTTTAGGAAAATGAAAAATTATAAAAGCAATAGTTTTTTCACAAAAAGACACCTTATAATAATATGATTTTTACAATAAATATTGTTTTTACTCCTAATAATTGATGAGATAGGATGATTTTTTACTATTTTCTTAGACATGGTATTAGGTTTTTTTATCATTTTTAATTAAATTATTTTGTTCCATTTTATCACCTAATAGGTGATTATGATTAACATTACTTATCATAAGATAATTTATCTTATCCTCAAGTTGAAACTAATTAAGAATATTTTTCTAATTTTGTCAAGTAGTGTCTTTCGAAACTAATCCTAACTATTCGATCAATATCATCCAAGTTAGAAGGATGGTGGTTGTGTTAATTTTTGAAACCAAAATGGTAATGGATTTATGGACTAGTTTATTGTCATGCATAATAGTATACAAAGATGAAGGACTTGCACTTAATGGTCACATATGTAATTTTAATAATGAGTCGTGGAAAATAGGGTGTAGTTTGCATTCTAAGGATAAATAAAGCTTGTACGTAGTTAAACCCATGAGTTGTGATGCAAAAAAATTTGTAAATATTTTTTACAAGCTTGTGATATGGGGACCCATGAACAAATCCTTGGCGATAAGGAAAAAAATGAACATATAGCCAATCCTTAGTATTGAAATCAATAGGGCAATGCTCGTTATCAGTAGATGTCTTCAATTCCTTTTCCAACCTCCTTTTCAAGGCATCTAAGATGTCTTGTTGTGTGGTTAAGGGAGAATGCACGACCTCGATCAAAGAAGTATTGGTGAGATAATGGGGAATGAAAATGGAAGTTTTGTCATAGGGTGATTTGGTAAGGAGAGAGACTAATTGAAGAGTGAGTAGTGGTATTGTAAGACCACTTAATTAAAGCTAAATATTTATCCCAATATGAAATTTGACTATGAACAAAAGCATGCAAATATTATTCTAAGATCTTATTCAAAACTTTTGTTTGTCCATTGATTTTTAGGTGATAAAGGATGTTCATTCGTAGTTTGGTGTCACTTAAACAAAAGAGCTCTCGCTAAAAATTGTTAATGAAAACATGATCACACTTTGAGACTAGACTGCAAGAAAAATCATGGTATTTGCACACAAGATCCAAAAAATGTTGGATTGAAGATTATGAATTGTATTGGTAAACATATACCCAAATAGATTCCCTTTAAAAACCTATTAACCACAACTATAGTATCACCGTATTATCCTAAAAATTCAAAAGAACAATGATAAAATCAAGTGATAAATATACCCATGGTTTGAGAGGGATATACAAGGGTTAAAGGAACCCTACTAGATGCTTGGTTTCATACTTAATTTGTTGGTAAATTGAGTAATTAGAAACGACTTGTTGAACAATTTACTAAAATTTTTAACAATACATTTGTTTAACTTTCATATATTATTAAAATGATGTCTTTTGCTAGGTCATATTGTTTGAAACTAGTGTGATGTATGACCAATTTTCATATTTTAAAGAGGTATTGAATATTGCCTACATACTAATACAGGAAAAGTTGAAAACTCCAAGTTATTATTATCCAACATACGTTAAATGGTCCAAAATTCAATCATTTATTTTTACCTATGAATATTGTTTCCAATTATATAGAAACATATTTTTACTTGTATTTTTAAATTGTTCACCTTTTAATTAAAATTTCTTAAATCAATAGAAAGAAATATTTTTTTTCCATTAAGCATATCATCTAGGAGCATGTATATTCAATTTTCAGAACTTCATATCTTTCCTTGGTAATATATTGAGACATGGAAGTATAAAACTATTTTTTGTATAGCCATTTGAACAACTTTAATTACTCAAATCAATCTAGTTTTCAAAATAAAGGAAACCCTGGTTTAAGTTCATATTATCTTACATATGCTTAGCGCTAGCAGTATGAATATCATTTAACAATCAATACTATAAAAGTCATAGAAAACATATACTTATTTTGATTATTAATGGTCATGAAGATGCATGTAACAAACAATCATATCTCAAACATCAACCCTAATATCCAATATTTGAACAATTGATTGAATATTTACAATTTCTCTTACTAACAAACAAGGAAGCAATTGACACTCAACATTTGACATTGAAGAAGTACAAAATACTAGTAATATAGTGCAAAAGAACAATCCAATGCAAAATGAACAAACTCATACATCTAGTATATTAGGATTCATGATGACAAATAAAAAATTATCATTTGCAAAACATAAATGTGATTTTAAACAAACAAACACTAAGTTTAAGTTTTAAAAAATAATATATGCAGATAACTAGAAAACACCATGTATAATAAGTTTATCAATTTTTAAAATAATAACAAAAATTTTGACTAATGTGATTTCTAATTAGTTGATAATATAAAAATTTTACATTAATGATCTATATCTATTAAACTGAAAAAAATAATGACTTTATATAGAGGTTTCATATTAAATTTCAAAACAAACTTGCATTTAAGAAATATTTTTTTCAAACAAACTATTTATACAAACTAATTGACATTTCTTCAAAGTGGAGATTATCTAAATGTTACTCATTATTTATATATTATTAATAACAACAACAACAAAAATAATAACTCTCTTCTACATTAATTTAAATATTGTTTTGAGTTTTTGTTAATCAAAATACATTTTCTAACCTCCTCATGTGTAATATCATTATGGTAAGTATTCATAACACATCAACCCTCAGTATCTATAACTACAATCTCAAAATTTCCTTTTTAAGGTTTTAAAGAATAAACAACAAAAAGGAGTATAGCTTTAGTTAAGTATATATTTTTGTCACAAATAAAGTCAAATTCCAATTTCAAATAAAAATAAAAACAAAAATGAATTCACTAATTGAAATAATATGAAATAAAACACATGTGTCATTTAGTTAATTGGAAAATTGTTAGTTAGTTGGTTAACTATTAGGAGAGAGATTAATCCATAGATTGATTCATTCATCTTGAAAAATAATTATTGTATAATCTTGCAATTACAATAATCTTTGAGAACTTCTCTAGTCATAAATTCCCTCTAGTTTTTGTTCTTTGAATTCTCATCAATTTTTAAGACTAGAAAGTTACATAATATGAAATTTATATGCATGAAATCGAATAACAATGAATAATAACTAAATTTAAATTGAAAAAAATGAGAAACATACTTGTAAGAGTGAGATTAAAGAATCAACCACAACATGGGTGACAATAGGAACAATAGTTGAAGTAACAACTATAAAAATATAATGACAATGATAATGAGAGTGAAAATAATAAAAAGAAAACCAACAATATCAATGAAAATGACAATAATCAATAGTGATAATAAGAACAATAACATTACTAAAATCGAGAATAATAACCATAATAATAATAACAACAACAAAAAACGGAAGAAAGTAAAAATAAAAATCATAAAAAAATAAGTTAAAAAAAGAATGGATGAATTATCTATATATAAATATTCTACTTAATTATTAAAAGAATTTATCATTAAATCACCTTACATTATAAATTTTTCTAACTAAAAATATCTAGGGTCTCCGACTTTTTCACTCAATAGATACCAATCATTATCTTCTGAAACCTCACAAATCCAGTATCATCTAAAATCTCTCATATTCAAATGCTTAAATACTAGAGATTTTAAATTAGATATTGATAATTATTTTCTAAAATCTTTCAAGCCTTCCAAAGAGTTATGTATCACTTAATTAATCATGGACCATTGTCTTCTAAAATCTTTTAAGTCCTAACACTGGAGATTTAAAATTGTGTATCTTCTAAATGTGATTAACCAACTATTATATTACAAATGCTCGTGCAACTTAGCATTTAATACTAAAGAGTAGTAACATATCCTCTTAATCACTCCTTAACCGATCAGTACCCTTCTACAACTTTCACGAGAGAAACACACTCTTATGATCAATAAAATAGTCTTCAAGAATTATTGAAAAAAAATAAATAGCCATTTGACCTTCTAATAAAATAAGTTTCAAGAGGAATCTTTAAAATGGTTTTCTGTCTTACAATTTCAAAAGTGGACGATTCCTTCAGCTTCGTCTTTTCTTGTTATCGATGGTTTTTCTACCAACCCTTTTCTTTAGAAACAAAAAATTGTTTGCTTTATTGTCCCACCTCGGTGCCGACTACCCATATTTCAACTCTAAAGACACTTTGAATCCATAGGCCCTCTGCCGCATGTTCAACATAGATCGAGTAATAATAAAACACTCAATCATTTGATTCATTTCACCCTTTTTACACGAATCATGATTAGCTACAATTTTAATTACAAATTCCCAAGAGGGAAAAGAAAGATCAAGCTTAATCTATTCTAACTTCTGCAATCTCATTTTTTTAATTAGAAAGAAAATTTGAAAATAGTTTCATCTAAGAAAGTCTTCAGAACGAAGGAGATGTCTTGTCAAAACGACTTGCGCAGAACCCGACCAACTCAGGCCTATACGGCAAAAAGGACTTTTTCTTATCAATCCTTCTCAATTCTCTGTTCTTAACATATAAAGCCTCGTGTGCCGACACCGCCACCGCCACCTTTTTCTTCTCACCCAAACCATTCCCTTTCGGTTTTCCGGCGACATCTATGCTCCACCGCTCGTTCATTTTTTTCTTCTCCGGCGACGCCGTCAGGAACAAAAACGACTCCTTCCCCTCGCTGTTGCTCCGGCGAAGCAAATCCAGAAGCTTCCACTTCTTCGACGACGATCCCGTCGAATTGCTCTTCTTGCATTTGCTCGGCGAATTCGGCGTCCACACGCAGTACGTCCCAGCCGGAATCCCCTCCAATTCATCCGCCTCCGACGACGACTCCGACGTCGTCGACGGCAATAGATCGTGCTCGCTCCGGCGAAGATCGTCACCGGTGATAGGAAATCGGAGGACCGCCGCGGCGGAATCACTTCCACCGGCGACACTGCTCCTGTATTCCCTCGGAACGTTGCGGTTGAAAATGGGGAAAAAGGCGTCGTCGAAACAGGCTTCGTCTCGAAACGCGGCGAACTCGAAATTCGTGTCGTCGTTTTGAGTCCTGTTGTGGCCTTGTCCATCTTGATTATCGATAACGGCGAGCTGAACGGTGGAGTAGTAGTTGAAGCTTGGACACGTCATCGAATCTAAATACTCTTTGTCTTGTTGTTCTTTCTGCATATTTCCAGCACAATTCAAAATGTTGCTTTCTGAAATTTGTTTTTCTGATCTTTGCCTTTTCGTGCAGATTGAGAATGAGAGTAAAATGGACGTGGACTTGCTGTGTATTTATAGGAAGAAAAGGAATGTGGAAAACAAGTAGGAGAAGTCAGGGAAGTTTCAAAGATATTACAATAATGGATCTCAAGAATACTATGTGTATATTTTAAATACGTCAGGAATGATGTAAATGAAGCTGGTAGTGCTTATTCTGCATACTGTAATTGTTATTATTCATTATAATTTATTATAAACAAACAAATTCAATTTGAATGGTATTAATTTAATATTTAAACATTTTCTTAAGAGTAAATATAAAAGAAAAAAATATTAGTTTCAGTACAAGAAAAATATAGTGATGCTTAAACCGTTGACTTTCGTGTTGGTTTGAAATGTGTAAAAGAAAGTGATAAAATTAAAGTACAAAAATAAGATTATTTAAATAAGTTAAAAAATGGAAATAAATAAAAAATAAAATAAATTTTAATTAACTATGTATTATTATTATTATCATAATAGAATAATAAAATAAATATTCATAATTATTTAGATAATTATGCTATTTATTATTAATAATTTATTTATTATGTATTTTATATTAAATCTTTATTTTATTTTATAGAAGAATAAAAGAAATATTCATGACCAATCATATCTTTATTTTATTTTATATATACTATTATTAAATTTATATTAAATATATTTGTATCTTTTATTAATTTATTTTATTATTTTTTAATCAATTTTATCAATTAAATTGTTTTCATTTTTATTCTTTTTCTTTCAATTCAATAATCTCTTTACTTCTTTCCTTCTCTCAAATTCACCTCTAAGCTTATCCAGACATAATATTAAAGAAAACCACAATATTTAAATTTACCTTATTTATTTCTTATTATATATGTTTACTTTTTATTTTTATTTATATGATGAAAATAATTTCAAGTAAAAAATAATTGAAAAAAAGAACTCTTCATATTAAATTTTTTTTTAGAATTTTTTTTTTCAATGTATTCTGATCCTTTTTAAAATAAAATCTTCGTCCTTTGATTTGACGCTTTGTGTAGTTTTCACATTTTCACTATTTTTATAAAATAATCAGATTTGTTTTATGCCGTATCTTGATTCTCACGTTTTTTCGCCCATGTTTGCGTATGTGGCTGCGTATTCCTCAAGCAAATTCTTTTCTTTTCTTTTCCTTTTAGTTTTGTCCTCTAACTAGTTTTTGTTACTATATTTTTTCTTCTCCTTTTTGTCACTTTTGACACTTCAACAAGATCCTGCGGAAAAAAAGGGATAAATAAAGATGGTTTGCGTGTGGATATAATGTTCTTTTCCTTTGCATGTCCTAATTCGGTGTTATTGTCTTCCACATGACGGGACATAATTATTAAAACTGCGTTTAACTTTTTTTTTTTTCTTTTCGGTTACAAATTATGTTTTACATTGTTACTGGGAGCAAAACAGGTAATGATGGGTTAAAAATGACGGTGAAATTCGTAACTAGATATTATTAATAAAAAAAATTAACAGATTAAATTAATGACCGGATACTTATAAAACAAGATTTTTTTTCTTTATTTTCTTGGATGCTTTTGTTTGAATATTTGGATTTATTGAATCTGAGAATGAAGATGTTGAAATTGTTCCTCTATTTGCAATGTGTCATGTGAAACCTATAAACACAATACTCTTTAAAAGAATATAAGCTTAGAATAATTTATAAAATCCAACAATAATTTTGTATTTAAATCATTATATTATGCTCAATGGTATGCTCCTTTTATAGGCAATGATGTGCAACAGACCAACGACAATCGTGGCACACAAAAAAATAGAATGAAAACCAAGATTGTCGCACAGGTAAAAGCTAAAACGGGAACTAGATGTTCTGCTTCAAAATTTATCAAACAAACCATAGGTTCTTTTTTTTTTTTTATCATTATTATACTGTTAATTTTTTGGTAATACGATGGTTTAAAACACAACATGAGATCTTCATTATTAAATTAAAAGAAAATAAGCGATGAGGAAAAATAAGTCTCAGGGAACTCTAAAGTTTTGCAAGAATAGTTTTATATTTGTCAGATTTACTTCTATTTTATTACGAACCCAAAAAATTTTATCGACATATTTTAAATACATATTTCTCCAAATTTAGTTTTATATTATATTTAGAAACCTCATAAAAACTCTTTTTAAGGGTTGAGATTACTGTTATCTTTTTTTAATTAAGGATCATATTATTTATATGCACTTTTATTATATTATTTATTAGATCTTTAAATATTTTGTCCATTAATCTTTGGTAGATATCTTTAATATTCTTTAAATTAAAAGACATAATTTTATAGCAAAAGTAAGTTTATTTCATAATAAGAGTAATTTTTTATTTATTAAGTGATTATATTTGAATTTGATTGTAACATGAATATGTATTTAAAAAATTGAGGACCTCATAATCAGATTTATTATCTATTAGTTGATCTATATTTAATAATGGGTTAAAATATTTACGACAAGTTTTATTTAAATTAGTGTAGTCAATGAACATATGTCATTTGTCATTAAATTTTTTTGCTAGGGCTACGTTTGTAACCAAGTTATATATGTTACTTCTTAGATAAAGTCAACTTTTAATAATTTTTCAACTTCTTACTTTACTACCATATGTCTCTCTTCACCTAACTTGTCTTTTATGTGTTATATATTTAACTCAAAGTAAAATAATAAGTTTATGACAAATAAAATCAATATATGACATATTAGATACACTTCATAAAAAGAGGTAAGTTTTTCTGCTGAGTACGAGTACCTCTTCCACTTATTTCTGTAAATTTTCTTCCACGATTCTTCTAATGCATGTTATTTGGCGAGGTTGAGGTTAAGCTAGAAATTAGCAATTGGTTCATCAAAACTATGACGACTCATTTTCGATTCTTGTCCAGGATCAACATCATCCTCTTCAACATTATTTTAGCCATGGATGTCTCTCTTCTAACATGAAGGTTCACCAATGATCTTCTTCAATGAATATGGTTGAATTTTTAGTCTATGAAAATAGTATTCTCTAGCCTCTTTAGGATTTGCCTTGATGGTGATGATCATTCCTTAACTAATGGTAAATTTGAAATAGCCAAATGTGATGTGGACATAATGGCTCCAAGTTGGTTAAAAGTTTTGCACCCTATTAAAACATTGTAAGAGGTGTCCACCATTATCAAGATATACCTCATCAAGATGCTCTTATTTTCTCTGTCATCACCATAGGTGGTTAGTAGATCAATGAGTCCACGAGTGTTGACTCATTCTCCAACAAATCCTACCAAGGGGTCTAGATAAGGCAGATGAAATCATGTGATATATCCTCTTTCAAGAAGAATGACCAATATAATATTTCTGTCAAACTTCCATAGTCAATTAGTGTCTTCTTCACTCCTCAGTTAGTAATAAAACAATGATGAACGCATGATCATCTTGGTTGGGATCGTATTTGTCAAAGTCTTCATGAGTGAAAGTTATGGGGGTAATGTCCTCGATTTGAGTAACTAAGATATGTTAACATTATGGAAAGTTTTCAAATGTAGTTTTCGAATTGTCGTCCACAACTTTAGCCACAAAAACCTCTTCGAAAGTGTTCTTGCCTATAGCCACATTCTTGCCTATAGCCTTTAATGAATCAATCTAATGACCCAGATCGAATAAGATCTTCAATAATTGCTCATACTCTCCTACAATTTTTAGTTGTATGCTTGTAATTTCGATGTCAGGAGGTGTAGAAGAAGTTTCTAGTAATTTTGACCAACTCTAGGTTACATGTTTCTCGAAGGGTTGTCTTGACACCAACTTTTAAAGGCACGTGCCTTCTTTCCTTGTGTTTGTCATCCTATGTGAATCTTTTATTCGAACCATACTTATGGGTCAGACCATCTCTTTCTTGATCTCTTTTCTTCCTAATTTCAATGTTCTCTCCTAGTTGTATAAACTTTGAACTCCAGGTTATGAATTACTCTAAGGTATTTGAATAATCCATGTATAGACTACCTAAAAATGGTCGTGTCTTAAACCTATGATTATAGAGTGAATCATCGCATCAGGAATAAATTATGGATTATAAGACTTACTTTGATAAATCATTCTATAAATTTTTTCAATGACACATTTCACTCTTGTCTTGGTCCCTATAGATTAAGAGAGGTAGGTCGATGTGGTCAAGTAAATGTGAAATTCACTCAAAACTTCTCTATCAATTTCTCAAATGATTTTATTGATCCATTAGGTAGATCATAAAACCACTTAAGTATCATTCCTTTCAATGTCAAAGAGAAAATTTTACATAAGAAAACATTATTCTCACTGAATATGCTAATATGCATCAAATAAGCTCGGGTGCTCGTTTGGTTTATTCCTCCCCCAAACTTCTCCATATTATGAGCTTTCCATTATAAGGGTAATGTTCCTCCAATATATCATAACTAAAAGGACTTTCGAGCTTCAATCTTAGTTTTCCTTGAGTGTTATGAGATTAGACTTGTTTCATGCTTGAGTCAGGCTCAGATCGACCAATCTTATGATGAATTTCCACTTCAACGTAGTTTTGAGCATCTTCTTCATGGAATGGTGACTGATACCATGCAGGGAATTAGTACCTCAAAGTAGTATAGTATCTCGGGGAAGATCTTATCAAAACACTCAATTGTCTCTCAAACTTTTGATTGGGTCACCTGAAAGCCTCCATCTCTCCTTCATGTTTCTTTTAGATTCTTTCAAACAATTCTCAATTCTTATCTTATAGCACAGTAATATTTGCATGGATGTTAGCCTTGTTTCTATGTTAGATTTCCTCCATATGAAATTTCAAAATGTTGATGATAACGTTAGCATCCATATTATCACTTGTTGAACTAGCTTCATTGGACACCAAATGTTCTTGTCAAAAAATTACAAAATCAAATAAGTTT